ATATATATTATTATTTTATTATATTGACCTTTCACCTGTGCCTGGCTAACAATACAGAAGTGCACTCATGTTACTGTATCAAATAATATAAAGGTGACCTTTGGTCTGTACAAAGTACCTTATCTTGGCTGTGTTTTAGTCGAATAGTATTTTGTAAAATACAGTCACATTTCAATTATTATACATTATATATGTATATAGATTACTGCTATTCTTAAAGTTATTTTTCCTAAAACATAGAACAGTAAATAAAGAAGTAAAGCAAACAATTATCTCTTCTAGTTACGACCTTTATACTCGGTTGCTGCTTGACGTAGGTGGCTAAGCCTTTAAAAATTTTTCATCAGGAGGATATGAAACAAAATATTTTTTTTTAGGTTTTATATATACTTTTGAATAACTAAAAAATCATAACTTACTATATCAGTACCATAGAATTCCATTATAATTTATCAAACTTAGTAACTAAACTGCATTTGGGTTTAAAAAAGTATGAAATTCAGAGCAGACTAAAGACACAACCTACCCCCCACTGAAATTTTGGTTCAAAAGAAAAAAATGGCATTAGTATATTAAAAAGGCTGAGAAAACCACTAGGTGGACATTTTGAGCTTCCAATTCGTTATTTATGTCATATATAAAAGTAAGTGTATATAGGGGAGCATTTCCAAAAATGGAAAGAGGTGAGCATGGTGCCACTGTGTTTGATTTATTACATGAGCAATATTTTAGCAAATAGAAAATACAAGACCTTCTTATTTTATATTATAGCTTGTCATTATCTGTAATTTGAGTTTCTAATTCGTATGAAACTATAGATTTAGTATTTCGACTTCATAAACATCTAATTTGAACCAGTGCCGCATTCAACATACCATGTGACACACAAAAATTTAGGTTTATCTGTACTTTTTTAATATTTACTTTTAAATTAACAAATTGAGTAATGTATAGTTCAAAAATTTGAATTATAATCTACAGTTTGATACCAAACTTATTGAGATAAATTCATGAAATAGTAGTTCACTAAAATTTTGAATGCGAGTCAACAAATGAGATGACATGGCCTTTCACCTCGAAAGGGTTAAGGAATAGGTGAAAAATCGAACATGAGGGCAGAGGTTCAAAGGGAAGCAAAGTAAGGCAGTGAAGAATCTTGTTGACAGCCCAATCTGGAAGGGCTGTGTGCCAAGGAAGATGATGAATCCCAAAGGAATGCAACAATAGAGAAATGATAGGAAAGGTAAAAACTTTATGGTACTGGAAAAAAGGAAAAATGTGGGATAAGGCAGTCCAATAACCCATGATCAAGGAGACTGAAGACCCCTAATCAAACTGCCAAGTGAAGAAATCCTTCTGAAGAGGAGTAGTGGGTCAAGCAAGTGAAAACCAGTGAACAAAAGACCAATGGTAGAAAACATTCCACTTACATTGATAAACATCCATAGAGAAAGGGCAAAAGGAATGAGCTAAAAAAAAGCATCCTGCCCGGAAAATCCAGACCTCCTTGCCATAGACTGGATAAAAAGCAGGTATGAAGATGGAGGATATGAAGGGCTGGATGAAATGACAGTGACTGAGGTTGATGTAGAAGGGATGGAGTAAGAGGAAGAGGTAATGGTGGGGCAGATTGGAGCTGGAGCAGCCATGGAAACCACAGATGTGCTGGCCAGTAAGAAGCTATCAGAAGGACCTGACATGGAGTGGGATGTAGACAGATGAGAGAATACACATAAAGGCATTTGTTGGTCTAATCCTGACTGAATGCATTGACAGTTGGTGCAAGCAGATGAGGAACCAGAGACCAAATGTGGAGTAATTGGAATTGAGGGGTGTGGCAAATGCTTCCAGATGAGGATTACCCCACTGATGGTATAGTCACTAGAAAATGAGAGGATTGTGAGACCACTCTGTAGGATAAACTTTGGTGGGATGGGAAAGATGATCCATGGCAAGATTGAATGCACCTGGAATATGGAACATAAGGAGAGGAATACCGAGCATGTGGGCCACAAAAAATGAGACCTCTAAGGTTCGACCACAAAGGGAACAAGAATGGGTGCCACCTTGGTGGTTGATATAAGCCACCACCACAGAATTGTTGGAATGGATCATAACCAGACATATTCTGGCAAGATGAAAAA